AATTGGTTCAGAGACCTTCCTTTTTCTAGACCCCCAGACTTAGCGGCTTGGCGCTTTGCTGTCTTTAGATGGTCTGCTGAGTTCTGCAGTGTCCTTGCTGTCCTAGGAATTCATTCTGCTCTCACCATGTCCACTGCTGCCGACCCGGTTGTGACACCTGCTTTTGTACAACTGAATTTCTAAGCAAGCTGCCTACTTAAGACTTTGACTTTGACCCAGGTGTCAAGGCAGGACAGTCTTCCCGAAGCCCTGATGCCACTCCGGTTCTCAGGAAGTCACTGTGGTGGCTGATAGTCACACTGTCATGCCCATCTGACCACACTCCCTCTTCACCCTGCTTTCCCACATCCCAGCACAAGGTCCTTGGGTCAGCCTTTCCATCAGCTCACATCTGTGAGAAGAGTCCTTCCTCTTTCCCCTGCTTTTCTTAGTCTTGCACGTGTCCTCAGAGGTCTAGTAGCCTCAGTGGCTGAGCTGAGACTTGTGATTCTTATGTTGCCTCCAGTGACTCACCCTCATTGACCCGTGTGGAGAAGAGGACAAAGTACTGGGTTAGGCACCTGAGGCTAGGTGGAGTTTTGCTACTTTCCAGTGAGACAAACAATGTACCTGGGCTATTTTCATTTGGTAAATAGATTATTTTTGTTCAAATCCTTCTAGCTGGTGAGTGGCATAGACTTTACTTTAGTAAGCCAAAAAAAGAAGCACAGAGGGGTTAAGTGTTGAGTTGTGGTTAAGACTATTCACTCTCAGGGGCTGGAGAGATGGCTCAGCAGTTAAGAACACTGGCTGTTCTTCCAGAGGCCCTGAGTTCAATTCCCAGCAACCACATGGTGGCTCACAACCATCTGTAATGAGATCTGGTGCCCTCTTCTGGCCTGCAAGGATACATGCAGACGTTACACTGTATATATAATAAATAAATAAATCTAAAAAAGAAAAAAAAAAAGACTATTCACTCTCTTAAAAATGATGCCTCCTGTGGGCCCTTCCTCCTGAGGAGCCTTGCCCAGAACTACGGGTACAAATGTCTTAACGCAAACTTCAGTCGGCCCCTCTTGTAAGCATAGACTTGAGTGGGTGGGCACCTTTTCTGTTCACTCTGAGCTGCCCACAGAGGTCTGCCGAGGGCCACTGCTTCTCTTACCTTGTGCATAGGAGTGACCGTTTTCCCAGTTGGCTCTAAAGCTTGTCTCGTCGAGAATGATGTTTGACTCTGATTTGGGGACTAGGCCAACCCTCGTGTGCTTCCTTTGTGCTAAGCATGATTCTTCTAGCTTCTTTGTTTATCTACTAGCCATGACAAGTCTTAACAGTGGCAAGAGAGCTAATTTTCCCTGATAGCATCCGGTCTTCTCCTCCTGGAATGTGCAAGTTCACAGTCAGTAGAATTGACTTATTGCACATAAGCAAATTATTAGAACTGGTTTATTATGGTATCATTTGGACATGTGATGCCTGAACACTACCCCCAAGCATGGTTTTTTTTTTGAGGGGGGGTCCTTTTGGTGTTCTGTATCAAATCTAATACAGCCACCATACTTAACCTAGAATTCTACAGAATGCCTTACTAGTGACTCCCTGTGATACCCAAAGAAACACTCACCTGGCCTATGGCCTATTTGAAACTAGACTTGGAAAACTTCACAGAGAGCCCATGATATGTGGTACAACCTTTTATCTAGAAATTGAGGGTAAGGGTTAGAACAGGAGGGTAAAGAGCAATTAATTACACGTGATATCAAGGCAGGACAGGTAACATGGCAGCCTGGACAAGAGCAGATGTGCTGAGTCATAACCTTTCATGACTCATAACCATAGTCCCAACATGTAGCCATAAATCACAGGAACTAGCCCATATTTGTGATGATTTGCCAGGGTGGGGTAAAAAAAAATATAGATCCACATTTGAGAAAAGGTAAACATGGGTGGGAGAAAAATGTATTGAGGTGATCAGTACAGAATCAAAGAACCAAGCCAAGGTCAGATGCAGCAGCTGGAGACTGAACTCAGGGCCAGAGAGAACACTGAGCCAGGAGGCCTGTTCCTGGTGCTCTAAGTACCCAGCTGTTCCCACAGGTGATCAAAGCATTCAAAGCCCAAGCAGTATGTGCCAAAACACACCAGAGGGATGGAAACAGAGGATCTAATTATTTGGGGTTCTTTATGATTACACCAGGTGTTACCATGTTAATAATAGAATCAAATTCAAAGCATGAAGTCTTATTCAGACTTCCATTTCTAATCTGGTCTAACCATTTCTCTCATGTGATGCTCCCCCTGGGAACCCAGTTGCGCTGCTGTGAGGAGGCCAGGGCCACATACAGAGACCCACATGAAGAGGAGTCTCCACCCCTCAGGCCTTTCTGCACCCCAGCTGACCGCTCACACTGGCTTGCCAGACAGAGTGTGCACAGTGGGAATGGATCCTCCAGCCCTCAGGTAGGCTACCCCGACTAATGCTGTGTACAGAACACCCAAACCTAGCTCTCCGCTGGGTTCTCGGATTGCAGATTTATGAGAATAATAAATTGTTGTTGTTGTTTTAAATTACTGAAAAAGATAGAGAAAACGTGTTTGAATCTGTATGTACCCAGTTATACATTATCACAATTATATATAGCAAAACACTTCAATATAAGAAACAAAATAATGAAAAGGACAAGTAAACAGATTAAGTTGTCAGAAGTTAAATATATAGGGATAAGAATAATAAAGTTATCTAAACCAAGTCTTCTCTAATACCCAAACTATTTTAATAATGATGCTGAGAATGTTGATGTGTCTTACACTCTTTCATTGGTATATTGTAGAGTTTTCTAGAAGTTATAAGATTTAAAAAAAAAAGCAGATAGAAGAAGCTAGCTCTCGTCTGTTAAGCTAAATTTGTAACGTGTATTTATGTAAAATGGTGTCACTTTCATTTTGGGGGAAATATTTATTTATTTGACAATAAATGGTGCGTTGTGATTATGTTCACTCTCATCACCCTCTCCTTCCCTTCCCACTCCTTCTGAATGGAAAATACCTTAATAAAATATTGCTATTGACAAGAAATGGAGTTTGCGTGTGTGTTTGCAGCCCTGTGGAGTCCTCCTAGGGTCTTGTGCATGGTATTCAGGGGCTCTGCCACTGAGCCATATCCCAGCCCTGGCTTAGAGTTTTTTTTATGTTAGTTTTGCTTTTAAATATGGTAATTATATAATATATACATAGAAGCTCTTTGACATCTTCAATATTTTTTTAAAAGTTATTCCATTTTATTTATTACCATTATTGTTATATTTTACAGACAATCGATTTGCTGCAACATGATCTGACCAATAATATTTGAGAGTACAGGGGCACAAGGACAAGATGTGTGAGAACAACACATTTAATAGACATAGTAGAGGGGCAGAGGGTCTGCTCGGTGATGGAGTACCTGCCCAGCATCTGTAAGGCCCTCAGTCTGATCTTCAGCATTCAAAACAGGATTGCCAAGTTTGAACTCTTGAGAAAAGTATGGAACACAGAGAACTGCCTAAACTAGACACATCTTCACTGATGCTCCCTTAGAATGGTACATTTGAACCACTAGGTCACATAGAAGTCCTTCAGAGGTCCATAGTTCGTGCAGTTTAGACACTAAGGGCACTTGAACACTTACAGCCTGTGTGCATAGGTACAACTATGAAGCTATTTGGTATCTTCTGTCAGATTTACAGATGCACACACTGCACACCCCCAATATTCCATTTGAGGAATTAATCTACAATATATCTGCTTATGTGCAAAACGGCATATGCGAGACTATTTGCTGTGGCCGTGTTTGTAATAGCAAACAATTGAACAAGCCTGATGTTCTTCAGTGGAGTACTGGCTAGATAAAGCATGATGCATATGCAAGATGAACTAACACACAAGCCTGGTGTTCTTCATTGGAGTACTGGCTAGATAAAGCATGGTTCATATGCAAGATGAACTAACACACAAACAATAGCAAGACCAAGGAAGCTTTTCATCCATGGTTGTGGACGCCTCCAGTCTGCTAAGTGAAGAAAACAAACAAAGGTTCTGATCAGAGTGCTCATTTATACAAAAGGGACCCTTTCA